AGTGTTAGCCCCCACTGAATTAGATCATGGTACTTCAATATCAGATCACCTTAAGGCAGAAAACTCCTCAAGCTTTATTTTTTTTATTGAAGTTCAACCACAATCCAGGTTTCCCTCGCTTTATGCTGGTTCTATATATGCAAATTTGCTCTAATACAATGACCCTTTTTATACCCAGAATTTGTTATATGCAAGGTAAATTCACTCTAATGTGATCGGCAGCAGGTAGGGGGAAGGGGAAAGGGCCATGGCCAGGGGAGCAGATTGAGGTCCTAGCGGTGAGGGGGAAAACAGGGCACAGTCAGGAGCAGGGACTGGAGTGAGTGGGGCCTTGATCTGCACCCTCACTGGTGGTGAGGGAGGGAGTGGGGCTGGGGCTGCCGCTGTGGACTGGGCTGGAGGCTGTGCCAGGGAGTGAGGCTGGGCCAGGCTGCGCTTGGGGTGGGTGGCAGCAGCACCAGGAGGGGGCTGCAGCCACCCCAATATTCGCCATAGCCCCCTCGCCCCCCCTACCAGTGCTGCTGCTACCTGCTCTAAGCGCAGCACGGCCCAACACCCTGCCAGGAAGAACCTAGCACAGCCCACAGCAGCAGCTCATAGCAGCAGGAGCCGCACCCCCCATCCTGTGCCCCACCCCGGATGTGCAGTGCCTGCCTCTGCACCACCCCACTCCCTCCCTCACCACCGACATGGGGGCAGATCAAGGCCCCACTCACCGCAGCCCCTGGGGCCAGGCTCTTCCCAGTGGGGGGGTTGAGCCGTGCTAGGCTCAGGGCAGGCAGCGGTGGTGCTGGGAGGAGGGTTGGGGGGGCTATGGCAAATTTTGGGGTGACTGCAGCCCCCCCATAGCCCCTCCCCATAGCTGTCCGCCCCAAGCACAGCCCAGCCCCCACTGGGAAGAACCCAGCACTGCCCCGGCCCCAGCAGACTTACCTGTTGCTGATGCAGGCAAGGTCTTGGAACATATCCCTATTTGTTACCCTGTAAAGGGTTCCCTTTATGTGCATTTGAGTTATACAGTTTTTTCAGGAGGACATCTACTGCATAAAGCAAGGAAACCTATATATGTAGGTATGTTTCCCACTACATCCCATAAAAGCTGATCCCATAGATTTTTCTCTAATTTCAGTTACATGTTGTACAGTAGATTTAAATATGTAAAGAATGCCTTGTCACTGTTTTCTGACTCTCCCCTCATTTTCTAATGTATTCCATTTAATCAGTATGATTTCTTTCCAGTTAAAGTATCTACTTTTCTTGTCTGGACCAGCAATGAATGATTAACAGTAAAAGAATAAGTTTTTCAAATGACTTCTGTTGTTCTTCATGCAACTAATTATTTAAATGTTGTTTTATTGACATCTGATCTCTTCCCTATCTTTGCTTCCATAGGGCAGACAAGGCAAACATGTTTTATATGGCTGTAGTGAACTTTTTAATGCGACACAGTTTATAAAACAGGTAAGTTACCCTTTATAATATCATTAGTATGGTTCAAACTATTAGCGCTTGAATTCCTTTAACATGCCACCATTAACTTTCTTGGATTCACTGGTAAAAATTGGAATTATTTTAAACACAGTTAAATACAAATATATATTTAAGTAATAGTTGAACTGGTAAAATTTAAAAAGAAAAGAATTGCTAGTAAATTGACAAAAAGATGGCTTCTGAAAGGATTTTGATATTGTACGAACATGATCTCTTAAAGAGAATGTTTTTTATTTATAAACAGCAGTGAAGTATTATGACAAAGCAGAAAGGCTTGCTCCGTGGACTGAATTTATTAGTCTGACAGAACAAGACTGGGAATCTAATTTTTTTGTCTCTCTATTTAGCTGTCCCAACTTGGTCAAAAATAGGACCGAAAAACATTGTTACCTGAAATCATCTCTGTTTGACAGTGAGAAGAAAAATTGTGACCACAGATAGCATCTTCAATATCTATAATCATGTCATGTTGATAAAACTTAAACCGTTCCATTAATTTGATAATTTTTAAAGATTACCTGTACTTACTATACAGTGTATTCCAATTGCAGACTAACCTTTCAGAAATAAACTGTAAAACTTGTATTTTGTCTGCTGATACATTGTTGTGGTTGATGCATTTTAAATTATTAGTTTCTAAAGGCTGTGTCACAATAGCATGTAATTGTTTCATGCACAAGAGCTGTGCTGCTGTGGTACTGCTGCTGGTGCTTTTGCAGCAGTGGCAGTGCCAGTGGGCGCAGCTGCCACCACCACCATGAAGGCAGGGCTGTCTTTAATAGCCACTGTTTCAGGACCAGGACTGTTGGTTGCTGCTGCTGTTGTGGGACAGCAAATCAGTTCTGGGGCAGCAACTGGGATGTAAAACTGCTACTGAAACCATGGCTGTAAACCCCAGCCCCCAAGGGTCTGTGGGGGTAACAGAGGTGAAGACAGCATGCTTCCTTACCTGTACAGGTGCTGGAGACAACCTCTCTACTGTGAGAGTGGTGGAATTAAAGGAGCAGCCCCTTATCATCCTCTGGTGAGAGAGCTCACATTTGAAAATTTTAAATTTAAAATTTATGATTGTGACAGGATGGGAACCTCGGGGTCGCTGTGCTCCCCCTTTTGTTACCCTCTCTACCGCGCCAAGTTGCCTATCTGCACCTCGCAATCTCGCCTGTCTTTGGTCTTATGTGTATAATAGGGAGGCTACCTGTAGTCTTCTTGGCTACAGTTCTCCTATGCTATACCGGTCCGTCTTCTGGAATGGGGCTCAGGTGCACCCCAGCCTTCTGGGCTATGTGTGGCTCCAACCACCCCTGTACCATGCCCCAAGCTTCGCGAATGTACCGGATGTTCTTCAGTCTTATTGGATGCCTTCTCACTGCCTGATCTCTCTCTCTGGGGCTTCTCACACTGCCAACTCGCTGGGGCTGGGGCTCCCACACTGACGTGGTTCCCCTATGAGGCCTCCTCCATCCCCTTATAGCCTCACCCGGTCCTCTGGTTGACAACAGCAAACAATAACATAAGCCCCTGGGCTATAACACAAAGCTAAACCACTCAGCTAACCTCCTTTGAGTCACACTCCACAGGTGCTCCATCCTTCACCAACATAACAGATTCAGTGCTCCAGCCACAGGGCTGGAATGTCAGTACATGCTCATAGCACTATATTTTTGTAGCAGCGTACAGTGGACAGACACTTTGTAGCACTACAAATGAACATATAGCCATAGCCATAAAAATTTTCTATGGCCATATTTCTTTAGTTGCACACCATACTAAAAGGGAAGTTAACTTCCTGAAATTAAATTATTTGAGGAAAAGACAACAGTATTTTACTGTGTATGTGTGCGCTATGTGTGTACATGCGCACTAAATAGTTACATTTGAAGAACTGTTAGATTCGTTGAATCGTTGTTTTAATACTGAGAATTCTTCAGAACTCTTTCTCAAGGTCTTTGCATTCTTCAGACCACCTTCTTTTCCAGTGTGAAATTTGCAAAAAGAAATCCTGTCCCTAACCCAAAATGTTCTCAGAAGTTCCATGCAACTAAAAAAATTGACCTACTCCATTGAGTATCATCACAGTATTCTGAGCTCCTCTCAGTAGTGCGTTGGGCAATATAACTAACATCTATCACGTAAGATCATGAGATCATCTAAGAGAGCCCCCTGCTAAAGGCAGGAGCATTCCCGATATAACCATTCCAGCCAAGTGTCTACTCTGACCTGTTAAAAATCTCCAGAGATGGAGTTTCCACAATTTCTCTAGGTAGCCTGTTTCAATGCTTAACTCCTCTCACAGTAAGAAAATTCTTCGTAATGTAATCTCCAAACTAAATTTCCTTTGCTGCAGTTTGAGGCCATTGCTCAGAGAGAAGCCTATCTCCATATACCTGAAGGGTGTATATAAAGAGGATAGAGACTTGTCAGTTCCCGCCTTAGTCTTCTTTTCTCCAGAATAACCAATCCTACTTCTTTCACGCTGTCCTTATAAGTGATGTTTCCCAGGCCACTAATAATTTGTACTGCTCCCCGCTGAACTCTTTCCAATCTATCCATATCTTCCTTGAATGTGGTGCCCAAAACTGGAAACGGTTCTCCAGATGAGGCCTGACCAGTACTGAATAGAGTGGGAAAATTAATTTCTTTTATTTGCAAATGACACTTTTTGATACAACCTGGTATGCTGTTGGCTTCTTTAGCAACAAGAGCATACTGTTGGTTCAAACGCAACTCACGGACTACAGTAACCCCTCCAGGTCCTCTGCAGTAGCCAAGCATACTCCAGTTTGTTATTTGTACATGCAGTGATTCCATCCCAAGTGTAGGACTTTGCATTTCTTGAATTTTGGACCATTTTTCAGTCTACCCAGATCACTCTGGATCCCAACCCTGTCCTCCAGAGGGTCTGTATCTTCATCCATGTTAGTGTCATCCACAAAATTACTAAGCATACACTCAATCCTGCTATCCAAATCATTAATAAAGATGTTAAAGAATACCAGACCCCTGGGGAACCCCAGTTGATACCTCCTCTCAACTAGACTCACTGGGCGCGTCCAGACAAGTGCACATGTGCCTCTTGCCCCACCTCAAACCCCTTTGAGGCGAGGCAAGAGGCACATGCGGGAACGAAAAAATGTTCTCGGGAGAAAATTAGATCCCTGGATATCCAGGGGTCTAAAAAAAACAAAACTAAAAAAAGCAGGGGAGGGCATGGTCACGGACTGTGCCCTGAGGCTGGCTGCCAGAGCATCTCTGTGGTTGGCCCCTTGCCCTGGTGCTGAAACGTGTGGCCAGCCAGACCATGTGTTCAGCACCAGGGCCCCAGTGCTGGTGAGTAAGGGGTCGGGGG